CATGGAGGCCTGCGACGGCCGTGATGCGGACGCTCTCGACCTTGTCCTGCGTGAGCGCTTGGAGGAGCTCGTCGAGCTGCGCCGAGTATTGGTTGGCGCCAAATGACAAGACGACCGCTGGAAAGTTGTAGGCACAAGCAAGGCGCACCTCGTTCTCGGCGTGTCGCCCGAGCCGGTTGAAGGCCGCGAGGAGGACGCTGCTGCTTTCCGCACAAAAGTCGTTGAGTGTAAAGAGCTTGAAGACGAGTCGTCCAAAGCTGCTGGCAGGGGGCCAATTAAATACGATGGCGTGTACGCAATCACGTCGAGAAGCACGGGCAAGATCTGCGCCTCGCGCTCCTTCTTCGGGTAAAAGTCGTAGAGCGACACGAGAGTCCGAAAGGCCATGCTTTTCACTTGCTCCTCTTCGTCTTGGAGGAGTTCGAGGAGCTCGGGCAGTAGGTCCGCACACGCCTTTGTCGTGCTACGATACAACATGCGCACACTCGAACCCATGCGCGATGCTACCTCACAGCACGCGCCAATACATCCAGCTGCATGCACATGCACGTCCGTACGTCCGTGTCCGTGTCTTGGCACAGTCCCATCATCTATCACGACAGAAAGTCAGATGCATCGGTGCTCGGTCGTCGGCGTGCCTTTTGGAAAAAGAGACTCTCAATGTCGGCCTCGGAGAGCAGCGTCGACGCCGTGAGCAGGCCAAGGACCCAGCAACAAATGAGGCGCGAGCCCGCGGCCTGGGACACGTCGCCCTTCTCGATGCCAATGCGAATGATCTACAAGTCCATGTCAGTACTATGTATAGAAGCAGACGCACCTGTGTCTTCTTGATCGAGCCCGAGAGGCGAGGAACGAGTGCGGCGATGCACCGACTCGCCACTTCGGCCACGTCTTTCTGCTGGATGTCGTTGACGAAATCAAGCACCATGGGGAGGAGCTGCTTGGTGACTTGGTCGTCGCTGAGGAGAAAGGTCGCGGCCAGCTTTTGCCGGTGGTAACTCGAGACGAGCTCGTCGTACTCGTCGTGAAGCGTCGGCAGCGGGTACGCGATGAGCTTGCCGTCGCACGTGCCACCAGCGAGGTGCATGAGGCAGTTGAGGATCTTGATGAGCATTTCCATGTCGTTCTCTGTCTCGTTGCGCTTCCAGAGCATCTACGCGCTGGCGATGAGCACGACGGATCTACGTCGCGATTGCCTTGATGTCGTCGAGGAGCAGCGTCAAGTTCTCTCTCGAGTTGTTGGCGGCGAGGATCGTTGGGATCGAAGCGAGCACCGAGACCTTTTGCTGCTTGAGTCCTGTCTTGAGCAGCCAGTCGGCGCGAGGGATCTCGGCCATGTCTTCCTCGACATGCAGCCGCTCGAGGTCCGATGGGTTCTACGCAGCATATTCGATGGTCGCTTCCTAGAGAATCCCAATGTACCACGTCGCCGTCGCGGTCGAAGCAGCACTCGGCCTCTTTCTCGAAGAAGAAGTCGTCCATGGCGCCGGCCCCATGCAACAAAAGGACTCTGGCGCGACGCCACCAGCGCTGGCGCTATTTATAGCGGCGTTGCGTAACGTCGCTGGAAACACCCGCCTTATGACGTGGCGCCACGCGCTGCCTTCGGGCTTCGTAGCAACTCATTATTGTCAAGGTTGTGTTGTTGGAGCGTCATGTCTCGAAAGACTAGCTCACGACAGGACGACGCATGGTAGCAGCCATACAGTATTAAAGCAGCTCGATTGCTTCGCCGCACCGAGAACTTCTCGTGCCGAGCTCCTAGCGGCGAGAGGAAGACCGTGGTGATGAAAACGCAGTTGAGCGATTCGAGCCGCATCGCTGTTCAAGGCAACAGGAGAGAGGATCGATGCTCGTCCGCAGCAGAACCAGCGCTCGAGCCATCTCCATCAATTGAGCGCCGACCAATGCCGCCAAGAAACGCCTTGTGTTGGCTTTGAGTGATCCGACTTGGATTTGCCATGTTGCCCATCCAAGTGTCCTTGGGCTCATCCTGCTGTCGATATCGCAAGAGGGGCGGCTAGTGCATCGACACTTTGAGATAACCGTCTTTTTACTGTTTTATCGTAGTTTAAAAAAGCATACCTCTGTGCGCAGCGCCTTGCTCGGATCGAAAGATCGGCCAGACCGTCGAGTTCATTACTGTAAACCTAGTTGACCGTCACTTAGCAGACTCGTCCTGGTCACTCGGTCGACAACTGATCCGCACGCTGGGTCCGTGTCCAGATCAAGCGTGCGGATTCGTTGTCTGCGAAAAGGTGGGTGCAGGTCCCGGGGTCCCACTGTGCAGTGCCACCATCACTCGCGCCTCGAAATGGAACGACATCCGGATGAGCTTGCGCGTTCAAGTTGCGTCAGAATTGAGTTTCCCGTTCCCTCCACAACCGCCATGGCCAAGAGCAAGAAGACGACCAAGAGCAAGGCCGTAAAGCGCAAGGCGCCGCCGCCACCGCCCGTCGCGGTGCACTATGACGACGACAGCATCAACACGCTCTTCGAGGCCATGAGCGTCGTCGCCGTCCGCTGCGACGACGACGAGCGCTTCTACGTGGCCGAGCTCCTCGACGACACGACCGAGGAGATGCTCGACGACGACAGCGCGACCGTCAACGTCCTCTACTACAACAAGCAGCCTGACGGCTCGTACGTCGTCGGTGCCTACGACGTGGCGCCGGTCCGCG